TTCTCTTCTCTTCTCTTCTCTTCTCTTCTCTTCTCTTCTCTTCTCTTCTCTTCTCTTCTCTTCTCTTCTCTCTTTTCTTTTTTATTTTTGGTTGTTACTGTTAGGAAAAATTTCTGTTGGCCAATGGGCTTTTTCCATGGAGAACGTTTTGGGGCTGAACTTACCATGGAGATCCTTGAGTTCACATCTGGTTATCACAGACCAAGACGGGAATATTGACTACATGTCCTGCTTCCACGATATCCACATTCAAAAACCTGTGAAAGAGGCAAGTGTAACAGCCCCAGTGAAAACCTGGCTAGAGAGAAACACCCTTTGGGCAACGTGTAAGAGTGGCTCAGTCCTTTGAAAAGCTGGGAGTGGAATCATCTAATTGTTGGGAGTGGCAATCTTATGGAAAGCCTAAGGGGGGATCTCCCAGGTGCATTGCGGTCTGTTCAGGAAATGTGCATTCTAAGGATAGGCAAAAAGAAGAAAAAGCTTCTGCAAGCAGATCCATGTCAAATATGTGATTCTTTTAGTGCTGTCCAGAAATGCAGATGTGACATCCATTCTTTCATATAACACTCCCTTTAAAATACTCAACATATTCCCTATTAAACTGTGAGTGTATAGACTTACTGACATGACAACTGATACCCTAAGGACTTTCAAAGTTTAAAGTTTAGAATCCTTTATTAAAATGGAAATACCCCAGGGAGAGTTGTCAGACTTCCCAGTACTTGTTAATTAACAACTTGTCAGCAATTAGTTATAACATTGGGCTCAAAGTGAGCTGATGGGAACTAGTACTGAGGTGATTGTTTGCAGGGGAGATGAGAAGTCAAGAGCAGAGAAGGGAAGTAAAAGTGCAGGTGGGAGCCTCAAATATCCACAGGAAGGAGATTTTGGGCTTCACTTAAGGGGCAGTTTACCATGGTGACAGCTCACAGGCCTTGGCTTTAGGCAGCTGAGATTCAAATCCCGCCTGTCAGCTATGTGAACCTTGGGGGAAACTTACCTTACCTCTCTGTTCTTTAATCTGTAAGATGGACATAATAATAGTTTTGTCCCTTGAGGCTGTGTTGAGGACTGAATGAAACAACCCACAGAAAAGCTCTCAGTGCAGAGCCTGGCACACCACAAGGTGTTCTCAGTAAATGTTGGCTATTGTTATTTACTGCTTCCTGATTCCTTTGGCCCTGTCCCCTGAGGAGTGCGTACTAAACGTAGAGCATGGTCTTCTATCTGATTAAAGAGAGTTGGGCCTCCAAGGAAGGCCTGCCAGTTTTGAAATGGCTATCTAAATCCCCTATTTTGAATTGGTGATGATGTTTTGTGCTTGTTATGTTTACTAAAATTGATCTGTTATTAATTGTATGTATTAACACTTAGAAAATCTTTATTTTAGGTTCAGTCAGCTATAATTGAAACTCTGTACAGATACCGATCTGACCTACAAATCATCTTTAATGTCATTGACTCTGATCACTCAGGTAAATGAGTTTGATTAGTTCACCAGCACTAGAAAGCAAAGGCTAATCTGTTTCCCTGAAACCAGAACCCTGTTTTCATCTATTGCACTCTTTATCCAAACTTGATTTAACTCGGGGTGGGGTAGGGGGGACTCATCTTTAATATTATTGTTATTTTAGTTTGGCTACAAACTGTATTCAAGACCATATGGTCCTATATAGTTAGTCAGACAAGAATAGTTCCTTTTTTAAGTCACCAGCACAGATGAAAAGATAATTCACTGTCCACTTAAATATCATAGTTACTCCTGGCAATAAAAATTACTCCTGGAGTTCTGATTCTGTTTTTGGGACTGAGGGCTATGAAAACTTTTTCTGCCTAGCTTTGATGCACACAGTTACTTATTTTCAAACTTTTTTTTTTTTTGCTTGCAGATATACTTTATTTTTTTCATTAAATTTATTGGGGTGACATTGGTTAATAAAATTATGTAGGTTTACAATTCTGTGATGTATCATCTGTGTATTGCATTATGTGCCCACTACCCATATTTTCAAACTTTAAAAAAATCATCAGATAATCTTTAACTGAAGAAATCATTGAACACCAAAAAAATTAATAATCAAAACACAAAAGTAAATTACTGCCTATAAAAAATGTCAGGGCCATCGTTTGCAATGCTCTTATTGAGTCCCAGGGTATCTTTTCCCTCTGCATGTTAGTGAGCTTCTAATTGGGACTATTCAATCAGTGTGGCTTCCACACGCCTTCCTTCAGTGGGTCTTAAAATGAACACTCACAGCTTTCTTTCTCTTATATTCTTTTAGGTCTGATCTCCATGGAAGAATTTCATTCCATGTGGAAACTTTTTAGTAGTCACTACCACGTTCATATTGATGATTCTCAAGTTGATGAGCTTGCTGAAAGAATGGACTTGAACAAAGATGGAAGCATCGACTTTAATGAGTTTTTAAAGGCTTTCTATGTAGTACACAAATTAGACAACTCGAGCAAATCAAAAACCCAGCTTGCTTAACAAGAAGTAGGTCTTTCCCTCCTTATGAACACAGTCACTAATACAATCTTTTGCAGAACCAGTAGTAGAAAGAAGTAGACCCCAATTTCCGCCATGAGCAGATGTATAATGTGGGTATTAGAATTGCCTAGTAAGCGTTTTGTTAAGACTAGGTTAAATGTCAGTTCCAGTGGTAGGACTCACACATTTCTAGATAGAAACTGGGTTTGAGCCTAGTGCTGGTCTCTGATCTTCACTAACTAGGAGACCAGAGCAGTTTGGAAACATACTGAAAGAAATGCATAGAACACAGAAAAAACTACACCATCTGTTGAGTGGCCAAGGAATAGGAGGAGGAATACTGAACTATTAATATAATAAAATATTTCCAGCTTTCAACTGTAATCTTTTTTGGCAATACCATAAACCAGTGATTCTTAATTGTGGGAGAACCACCCTTCAGAGATGAGGGCCGTATCAGATTCTTGGGGTAAGCTGTGGGAATGTATTATTTGAAAAAACATTCTGTTGTCTATTGGAGATACAAAGTGAATACTTTAAGTTTGAGCCCTGCAATGACTATGGTTTAACACCTTCATTGGTAAGATGACACCTTGGTTATGCATACATTGTGCAGTTTATCCTGCTATTCTGATTACATATCAAATACAATAAGAGATTTCTGTTTAAAGGCAAGTATATTTTAATTTTCCTCTAAGTTTGAGAACTTCAAGATCTATCAATATGCCAGGGTAGATATCCTTCAACGCTACCTGCTATATACACCAAAATAATGAATAAAATATAACAAATATATTTTAAATGCATAACTGAGCTCCTAGGAAAGTAAAAGAAACCCCTATTGGGCAGGAAAAAAGAGCATAATTAAAATAATAGCACTATTAACATTAGACAGGATAGACTTTAAGGCAAATAATATCATTAGGGATAAAAAAAAAAAAAGGTCATTACTGAATACTAAAAGGAGCGATTCACCAGGAAGATATAATAATTATAAACATATTCATTTAATTACAGAGCTTTAAAATTTGTAATGCAAAAATTGACATAACTACTAGAAGAAATAGAGGGAGATTTTGAATATACCTCTATCAGTAATTAACCATGTAAATTAAAAATTAGTATATGGAAGATTGGACAACCCAATTAATTCTCCTGATTGTGTGTGTGTCTGTATGTGTATGCTCTGCAGTCAATTTTAGAGAATACATATTATTTTCAAGCACACATGGAACATTTATAAAATTGATCATTTATTAGACAGGCAATTTTCAACCTTTTTCATCTCATGGCACGCATAAACTAATTACTAAAATTCCGCAGCACACCAAAATATACATTTTTGCTGATCTGACAAAAAAAGGTATAATTTTGATTCATTCACACCAGAAGGCTATTGTTGGGTTGGCTGTTGTCATTGTTTATTTGACAGTCTAAGGGAAAAAAGATCAGTGCCCCTTACTGAATAGTCAGGTATTGCAAGTCTTAAAAATTCTTGCGGCACACTGGTTGAAAATCCCATTATTAGACCACAAAAAATATCTCAAATACCAAGCAATCAATAACAAAGATACTATATTCTCTGATCATAATTCAGTTAAACTAGAAGCAATAGAAGAAGATAACTATTAATGAGGAAAAGGGGGATATAAGGAGCTCTAACAGAAATTGCTAAAAATAGTTAACAAGAATACTGTGAATAACTTTATCCCAATAATTTAAAAAAATTGGAGAATGGACAATTTTCTAGGGGAAAATATAATTTACTAAAGCTGACTCAAGAACAAAAGGAGGGTCTGAAGAGACATAACCATTAAAGAATGTGATGGCTTTGTAATGTGTCAGTTTGACTAGGCTGAACTACATTTCTCAGAATTCCCTTGTTTCTGGTTAAGGTAGGCTGCAAGGGAGATTCTTGACAGATTTGGAAGGCAAAGGGAAGCACAGCCGTTGTGTAGCTCCTACACACTGTTGCTGAGCTGCCGATTCACCTCGTTGCTGTGAAGCCCTGCTAGGCCTGCAATTGCTCTATGTCGCCCTGGATCCTGTCAGCTTCTCTGACTCCTGGGCCAGGTCTGTGTGTTTAGTTCTGTGACAAAGGGCTCTGGTTTCTGCAGAATGGCCTTATCAGCAAGGCCAGAGGCTGTAGCAATGGGCTAGTGCCTGTGGGTTTGAGCCTGCTTCTGATCTTCCCTCCTGACTGCCTGCCCTATGGACTTCAAGGTCCGCCATCAGGTATGGTATCTACAGCCTTGCAGAGCCTGCTTAGCCAGCTTCCACATTTGCATAAGTCACTTCTACTGGTTGTACATATATATAGCCTACAGTTTTGGCTCTGGTTGAACCCTGATTGATACAGAATTTGGCGCTGAGAGTGCTTCCAGAAGAACAGAATCTTTTTTTTCTTTTCTTTTTTATTGTTCAGAATATTACAGATGTCCCCTTTTTACCCCATTGACGCTTTCTACTCCATACCACTCCCCACTCCAGGCCTCCACCTGAGTGCTCTGCATGCATACAACCGGATGTGCACAGAGCTGCCCCATTATCTCACATGAAAATCCACTGAGAATCCCAGGAGAGTGGTTTTAAGAAATGTCCAATCTCTGGCAGTACCAGATGGGTCTTTCATTGTTCCTTCCTAAATATCATCTGGTTATTTAGGTTCTTTCTGGAACTCTCATTTTCTCCCTTGGGCTTCTTATTTCTGTAACTAATTATATACCTTTGTTGGAAATTTTACCTAAAAATGTACTTCGATTTTATTAAAGATTGTCATTTAATGTTGTAAAACTTCTGCCTGACATGAGCTGTGCTTAATCACAATTCAGTTTTACAA